CAAATGAGCTCTAAAAAAAGAGTTGATTCCATACCCTAGTGCTGCAAAGACTTACTTCAGAAGTAAAACAGGTTCTTTGAAATTAGCAGAGAACTGAATGTCCGTTTTGAACTGAGATGAGGTGAGTCATGGTAATATATAAGCACACACTGGGAGGAAAACAGACTTTTGATTGGCAAACATTTCTCTGAAGGGATTATTCACTACTTAGAGTTAAAAGAGATTGTCTTTAAAAACATATTTCATTAATTATATACAGAAATTAAATATTCAGTGATCAGATTCTGCACAGTTCGAGTGGGTATGAACTGGATATAACTCCCAATATTGCTTTAAAAGTGTACTCATAAAAAAGAGAGAGAGGCATCACTTTATTAACAGTTTATAGGGGATACCATTACTTTTTTATTTGATTTACTGTTTCCTGAAGTAATAAATATAGATGAGCACAGCAAAAGTACAGGTTTAAATAAGAATCACAGGGATGTGTTATGCCAGCAGTGCCTAGTGTACAGTTAATCAGAAAGCAGAAGGTAATATAAATTGTTTCTGACATTATGAGACTATAATAACAGTACATCTCCACCAGCCCTGTAGCTCTTAGAAGAATTAGAAGTATGTATCCTGAAGATACCACCAACCCAAGAAAAATGAAGACATTTGTACATGCTGACTTTTTCCACATTTGTGTCTTAGTTCTGCAACTGTAATACATACAGGTTATTACTGTAACAGTCAGTTCAGTTCCGATAAAAGTTGCTGCATGAATTTGCTTCTGCTACCTAACATTGAATTAGACTCCTGTAATGGAGCAATGACTTTTTTGTATCAACAAGTTTCCTCCTTGACCCTGTTCCTATATATATATTTATGTCATCTTTCCGTGTACTAGAACATATTCCTATCTATCAGACCATATTATTCTGCCAGGATGTGTTGGGTAAAATCCTAGCTTGGATGGCAATAAACCTACTATGCATTACTGTGGTCCCAGGATTTCACCCGTTAACTGTTCTTAGCAAAAATGAGTAACAAATCAGTGATTCAGGTAGTTTCCTATCCTGTCTCTAATGCTGACCAGTATAAAAACTGTCAGAGAACTTCAGACATACTGGAAGCTCTCATTATGCATAAGAAGAATTGATCTTTTCTGAGCCATTCAGGAGATACATTTTTCTATGACTTTTTAATATTAATCCCAAAAGCTTTTTACTAGTTAGTCTAATGCATTTAATCTGCTAATTCACATAAAACTTGAAACTTTTAAAAACAATTATTTTTGCCAACAGTGCTGTGTAGAAGACAGCTTTATAGATTAGCTATAAACTGCATAGCAGAATATTTCTCTTAAACTGTCTCTCTCTGCTGCCTTTTCATTTCATTTTATGTCTTTGTTATTGCACGGTAATGAAAGGTAAACAGGAGAGTTTCTATAGTTTCTTCTATGCCCACTCAGAACATAATCACATTTGAAGTAGATGTCCTTTTGACCTCTTTTCTAAAATATATGAAGCTGTTATGTCCGTATTCATCTTCCCTCTTTTGACACCAACATTCCCCTTGACTCCTCCTATCTGTAGTTTCATCTTCTCCCTTCTCATCTTGCTTCTGTCTCTCCCCACTATCACTCTGTCTGTTAAGTGTCTATGGTAGAATTAATCAGTTTAGCTAATCTAAATGCTGACACTAACAGAAAGTTCAGTTGTGTGTCCTTTGTTTTTATGAAGAAAACCAATTTAGAAAAGAAAAAAGGAAAGGCTGTAAGACACAATTGGTAATACATTTGTTGGCAATTCTAACCTGTTATGGTTGGTATTATGAGAAGCACAACTGTGAAACTCACTGCCTGACCTTCTCTCTTGCAATTAGAAAAAGAAATGACAAAAGTGATAAATGCAGTCCAGTTAGGGTGAAGCTTAAGCCACAAAATCCCAGTGTAGATTTTGCCATGGCTTTATGCTAACACTATGGGTTTAACCTTGTAAAATCAGAAAGCTCAGTGAGAAGAGTGTCCCAAATTCCATAGCATTTTTCTAATCCACTATTAGACATTACAATGAGGACACATTAGCTAATTATAAACCAGTACCTCCTTCTCAGGTAGATAGTACACAGAATCCCCTACTGTCCTGGAACACTGTGAACCATCTAAACATGAAGCTCTGATTATCCTGCAAAATTTTGGTTGTATTTAGTAAGGGAGGTTTGGGAAAGCATCTAGTATGACCTTGGTTACCATGGCACTCATTAACTCAAGGCACTGAGCATCCCTAGGAAAGTATACAAGCTACTTGCATGGTATTAATATCCAAATAAAGCCAACTAATCCCCTATTGGTTTAGTCCTAGGACACACTGGGTTTGCTTTAAGAAAGACAAACTGGAATGGGGTCTCTTTGGGTTTCTCAAAACCTGTATGGGACCGCTGCTGTTCCATTTGTATCTGCGAATAGTACCGTGAGAGTAATTGCCTAAGCAAAAAAGCAATGTGCATATTGAAAATGCTAATAACAATGTATTAGGGGCCTCGTGAAGAAAAATGTGGGTGGTAATGAAAATCTATTTGTCTCTTAGTACAGATATATTTTGGATTATAATGAGCCTCTCCAATTTGAGATGAGGCTGTGAAGCACCATTTTATTTGAGATGAGGTACCCACCCTACTGGCTGTGTATGAAAATGAGATTCTGACACAAGCCACCTTCATTCACAGATATTTTCTCTCTTCTCTTGTTCTAACATCCATAATGTTAAACAACTGTGGCAGGTAGCACTCAGCCTGGAGTACACAGCAGCAGGGATGGAGAAAAGTTTGTGAGAGCAAGTAAACAGGAAGAAAGCAGGGCCACTAGGAAAGGACACAAAAGCCAGGACAGCAGGACTTCATAGAGAATGTGTTAGAAATGGGCTGGAGGTGAGTAGAATCAGGAAATGTAAGTAGTTTGCAAACAGAAAGAGAAATTATTTGCTGATAGGAACTTGATTTTCAGAACTATCTTCAATGTCTAAACTTCAGGTACCTGTCTGTAGCTTTCAGGCCTGCTATGCTTATCTTAGGACGTTTGAGAGAGTGCTCTACAGTTAAACTGGGCTGCTGCTCATGACCTTAATTCTGTTTAGGTGGGCTGGGCCTATTGCTTCCCTTGATTTTTAAATTTTCACATCTGTAAAACAGTACAGTCATGCTTCATGGGGATGTTTACAAGAGTTCGTTGGTAATATTAGTGGAGTGCTATATGTACAAAGATGGACTTCATATCCCACCTATCCATACAGATAACCGTTTCTTTAAGTAGAGACAAAGTGACAACTGCTATCTCAATCCTAACAAGGGATGTTACCAGCCACCCTGCAGGCTGATGCCTGCCCCTGCCTGAACTGGATTAGACTCCATCTTCTGGGCATGATTTTCATAAAGAACACAACATGTAGCAATCAGTGCATGCACCTAGGAGCAAGTAGGAATCATATATGTTATGCTCCTGCATCGTGAATGTCCTCTTCCTGCATGATGTCCTGTTCTTCACCTGTGCTCTGGCTTCCTTGAAGAGCAGGGGTTTGAATCTGATGTTTAGTCACTAGCACATTAGCAGGAACATGCCACCTTTCCCACGCTACAGCCAGTGGCACTGGTTGATTATTTCGCAAATGCAAAGCCAACTGCTTTTGGTATTATCCCTAACTCAACTGAACACCAGGGCCTGAGGTTAAGGGGGGGTGAGGGGGGTGTAAGGGAAGGGGAGCACAGAGTAGTTTATAGGGAAAGTAACCTGCTGAAAGCAGAGGAAAAGGAAAGAGTAAGTGAAGAACAACCTTCCCTGGTGGGTGGACTAGACAGCCTAGTACCAATTTTCTATCCCCATTTTGTACAGTTTTATGAGTCTCAAAGCAGCAAAAAGAGAAAAGAGCTACAGGATCCATTAGTGGGGTGTCAAGGAGACAGGTACAGGATCAAGCCCTCAGAGAACTCAGCTTCAAGCAGAAGCACAATAGCTCCCTACAGATGTGCAGGTCAGGGTCACATAAAGGTTGGTGCTCAGCCAAGTGGATAGCGAAGAATTGCGGTGTCCAACACCCACCACCAGCCTACTCTGGGTGAGCCATGCTTTGTGCTCTGGGCTGGGGCAGCACAGCATCTGGCAGGGATGTCTCCCAGAGAGGGAGAATTTGTCGGATTTCCTTCCTTTAGAGGAGATAGGGAAGGAACCTAATATTCCCTTGCGTGGGATGAACTCTTCCTTGTCTTTCTCCACTTCATGGCAACGTAGGCGGATGAATGCGGGAGCCTCTTCCCTCAGGTGTTGGCACCGGCAGAGGGATGGGGAGAGCCCAGGCAGCCCCTCTGGGAAAGCGCGTCGCCTCTTCTGGCTGCCCTGTGACCCTTCCAGCCCCCCCTCCGACAGCCCCGCGCTCCCGATTCCCCGCCAGCCCTCTCCCCCGTCTGCCCCGCACCGCGGCCGCCGTCCTCCATCAGCCGAGCGGCAGGCCCGGCGGCACTGGGCCGCCCGAGCCCTCACCCGGCCTCTCGCCCCTGACCGAGGCGCCTCTGCCGCCTTCCGGATCCCTGCCCTAAGGCTCCCGCACCGCCCGCCTTGCCCGGCCCTGGGCAGGACCCCGACCGCATCCCCTCACACCGCCGCCTGCCTCCGGCTGCTCCCGCCCCTCCCCCGGCGGCAGACAGGCGCACGCACCGCGCACTCACACACACAGACACACACACAGAGACAGCACCGGGGCGATGCAGCTTTAAAGGGGCCAGATGCAGCCCGCGGGCCGGCCCACGTGAGGCCGGTGAGCTCCCTCCGCCCGCAGCCCCGAGCTCCGCCGCGGCCGGGAGACGCCAGCGCCGGGGCTGGGCGGGCTGAGCGGAGCGGAGCGGCTGCCAGCCCGCCTCACGCCAAGTTTGATCGATAACCCCCGCCCGGCCCGGGCGGAGCACCCTCGCCGGCTCCGCTACCCACCATCTTTGGGGGAAGTCCTTGCGCTGGGGGGGGGGCGCTGCTGGAGACTGGGGGGGAGAAAGCAATCTCGCAGCCAATGAGCCCTCCCCGGCTGGGGTGAAGACAACAGGAGAGGGATTTGGGGAAGGAAAAAAAATAAAAGAAAGGAAGGAAGGAGGGGGACCACCCTCCTACTACCTCCGCCAGCATCGCCACCACCATTGACACTACTCCGAGTCTCCAGTTGCGCCCATGCCTGTGCCGCCAATTTCGTTTTAGGGGCTGAACCGCAGGGGATGAAGAAAATGGGGCAGAGCGTGCCCCGGACCCTCCTGCTGCTGCTGGCGGGGCTGCTGGGGAAGGCTCTGGCAGGGTTCCCCAACACCATCAGTATCGGTAAGCGCCCGCCGCGGCACCGCGACCCGCGGCTTTCTCCCCCCCTGCAGCCGAGGGGAAGTTGTGTGGAGGGGAGCGGGGGTGCAGCTCCGGGGCCAGCCCCGCTCCGGGTCCTGCCCGTCGTTGCGAGCGAGAAGCAGAAGCGATGCCCGGGCTGCGGCAGCGGGCGGCCGCGCTGTCCGCTCCCCTCAGAGCGGCTGAGGATGCGGTCCGTGCTCATGCGGAATCGCGCCCTGAAGCAGCGCATCCCGTGTAGCAAACAACGTGAGGAAATCACGGCGCCTGTCTGCAACGGCGTGCCCTGATCCCGGGGCCGGTGGAGCTGTGAGGCTGGGGCGCCCGGGTGGTACGGGGGACTTTCCCCTGCACCTCCACCGGAGCAGCGCTCAGCTCTGCCTGTTCTCCACCAGACCGCTTAAAGCCGCACGTTTGCCACGCCACCCGTGTCCTTAGCCCATAACTCTACAGAGACGTTATTTGGGTAGTCTGGGGGTAATTTAGGAGCACAGTTCCCCGAGTTGGACTCTTAAATCGGCGTGCGGGCATCCTGTGGCAGTGGTCGGGTGTTAAAGGTGCGCCTGCAGCTCCCGGTGACTCCGGATCGCTCCGGGGGCACCTGGATGTGGTGTATGGCTTTAAAAGCTTAACTTTGGACTCGGAGTACGTATTTCATGTACGTGCTCTGTCAGAATTATGTGCTCAGGCTCAGCCTGCTCCTGCTCGTTCTTTCATGAGATGTGCGGTATGCAAATGAGACCTATTGCCACTGTTTCTCCTCAAAATTGGTTCTGAAATACCATTTTGTTTTGTTTTGGTTTGTTTTCAATCCTAGGTGGACTTTTCATGAGGAACACTGTTCAGGAGCACAGTGCATTTCGGTTTGCTGTGCAGTTATACAACACAAACCAAAATACCACAGAAAAGCCCTTCCATTTGAACTATCATGTAGATCACTTGGACTCTTCCAACAGTTTTTCAGTGACAAATGCTTGTAAGTAAATACATGCTTTAAAATATATATATGTATTTATTTGTTACCTATCCTTGCATTCATTTTCTCCCGGATAGCCTGGCTTTCTTGTTCATACAAAATAATGCAACAAATGTGTGTACTGGCATGATGTTTAGTAGATTTGCAGCTTTATATGGTTGAATAATACCTTAGAGAAAGTTCTCTCACCACTTCTTTTCACCCTTTTAGTTTTGTTTTCCAGAGAAACAACCATCTTATTTATATAGCAGCGCTGTTTAGCTGTGATCAATGAATTGCTGCTGAATTAACATCCCTTTTCTGTTGAGGCTACAACCTAGCTGTGTGAAACAGCATGATTTCAAATAAAACAAAACCAGCTGCTTAGAAGTGACCTTGAGGGGACATGGTAGAGGGGCTTACTTGCCTTCTCTACCCTGAAATACTGGGTTATTTTCTTACAGTGAGAGTCCTGTTAAAAGCTGAGACAATTGTAAACTGACAAATACTGTTAGAGCAGAGGGGAGAGAAAATGGAACCAGAACATTTAGCGTTATGAGAAATAGCTCTGCACAAGCAGTACATACATAGGATTTGAGTCTTTATTAACGGAAGTAAAATAGAACTTTGAGTAGTGTTAATGTGGTGTTAAAATGTGAAATCGCTTTCTGAAAGGCTGGTGCATGTTCTGCATTTAAAAAAGCATTCCTTTAGCAATAGTAATTCTTGAGCGCTTGGTGTACTGATGCGTCCAAGTTCACTTCTATACCTGTTTTATGGTGAGCCTTTGAAAATGAATGGAGTCTTCATGTGAGGTAGTTGCATGCCCTTTGCAGAAATATGCCTGTACATCATCTAAAGGAACTCTGAATGCGATGTACTAACTTTGTGTTATGAACAGGAGCCCTGTTTATATACTCACAGTATAAAATGCTCAAAGAGGAAGCAGTGTGCTAAAATAATCAAGTATTGGAGTAGAGAAAACTTGCTTTAAAACAATTTAATGTTTTGAATATCTGATATTTCTTCTTTTTTTTTTTCTTCGGGGCAGCATATTTCTTATATTCCTGTCCCATGCTGCATAATTGGAAGGCTATACAAGTAGACACTTTATTCTTCTAGGATTTCAGGTATTTTCTGAGAAAGTTGATGGTTAGAAAATATTCAACAAGGAAATAACTTGGAAAATTTTGGATTGGTATTCTAACATATCCCCCATGTGACTGGTTCTTGCTAGTGCAGTGTTACACTTTTTAAAGGGCTTTGAATTAGGACCTTTAAAACTTTTGTAGGGGGGTTAATTATATAATATCCAATAAAAATATTTGGTAAAGTGGAAAAATGGTAAGTAAAAGCGTGTCTGTATTTTGCATCTTACTTTACTAATCCTATCCAGCCCCAACAGCTCTTACAACAAATATCAGACTATTAATCCTCAAGCAGTGTAATCCCTTCAAGAGGCTGTATCTCAAACATAGTTTCCTAAGTATCAATTATATGGATTTAAACTAAATACATTAAACTGCTTGGGCGATTAATTATTAAGTGTTTTTTTAAAAGTTCTAGCAGCACTGCTTCACAGATCCCCCCAGACAAGTGAACCAGAGACTCCTTCAGAGGCGATGTGTTATTTGGTCATCACGCTTCTTACCTGACACCTAGTCATTTTTGTCATTGCTTAATAAAAGCTGTGGCATTTTTAGTCACATGAGCTGGTTTTCTGTAGTATAGGCCTGTACGTTCCAATGCACGTTACCAGTGTAGTAAAATTGGGAAAACTTAAATCTCTGGAGAAACCATAGACCAGAGAACACCAACCTACAGTAACCTATATAAAAATAGAAGATGTGAAAAAAGAAACAGAAGGAAGAAAATGAAAAGGTGACCTTCTCTATAGCTATGTCAACCATCTGGTAATACTGGTGGTAGGGAAAGAATGCAGTGAGTCCAAGTCACCAGTCATCTAGGTCTCAGTAGCTCAATATAAATAATATAAAAAGAAAAATAGAACAGTTGCTCTTTTTGGGTCTGGAAGCAATTATCTTTGAAAGTCAGAACACTCCTACATATCAGTGCATTACAGTGAACTAATAGCTCCTCACACTACCTGGCTAACATGTAGAACATTGTGGCCTAAGTACCCTTAATCACATCCTCACTTCCCAGTGGAGTGGTAGATAATTTCAGTGTGCTGCCATAGCCATGAAGGAATTATTCCCACAACATTTTTACTTCTCTTAGAGATAAGCATATATTTTCTCCAGAGCTGTCACACAGCCGTTTGATCAATATTTGCAATTGGCAGAGATCCATAGGAGAGGAACCTGCAGTGACTCTTGACTGCCTTCGCTGGAGAAGGAAGGCTGTGACTGACTTTGTGGTTGAATAGGTAAAGGAGCTGAAGGAAAATTGGAGAAATTGTAGCATGTGTAGCTTGAGCCTTGGGCCTGTACTGGTCAGTATCCATAAATACTTTTCATTCTTTGCTTTGATTTATGTTGACTGTAGTAAGTGTTCATGTGTGCAGGAATTGAGGGGTGCTCTGCTCAGGAAAGACTTATGTTCTTACCATACAGCTGCATATCCCTGTTGGTGCAATCTGGTGCATTCCAGAGGCAGGAGAAAAAAAAAAGTCTCTTGTGAAGTATCCTCATGAGCCAGAGATAAAAAGCCCACCTTAGGCAGGTCTGATTTGGCAATATCCCAGCATGGGAACAAACTTGTTTAGAAGCAAGAGAAAATTCCTGCCCTAAGCCCCTCCCTCTCATTCCTTTTTCAGTTAAATTATGCATAATTTGATTTATGTACATGTATTCCCTGCTTCACTGCTACAGGGAGCCCCTCTCTGTGTATTTCATTTACAAATATGCCTACAGTATTCATCCACTCTGTATTTATCTTCTTACCTATTTATTTAGCTGTACAATGTCTTAACAGAGAGAAAATACAAGCACAGATGGAAATTCTGATGTATTTAAATGTGAATTGAAGTTTATCAGTGGGCTCAGGGAGGGAGGGGATTTATTACATCTTTGAAAATATAAAGCCTTTTGCCACAAGGAAAGAAAAACAGAAAGGAAAAAAGTTAGCTTGACCTGTGAATGAATAAAATCAAGTAAAACGTGGATGTTATATTTTCTTCGAAAAAGCTCGTGTAGGGAGGGAGATGGCTTTTTTGGAATGACTATAACAACTCAAATGTATAAATTCATCACTGGAGCATCTCTTATGTTGTTCTTATAACCTCTGATAAAGGATGTTATTATTAATGTTGAATTATGCGTGCAGTTCTGCAGATCAAATTCCCTCGAAATAACCCACGTATGTCTTTCTGCTCTGCACTTGTAGTGCACTATACTAACACTGCTCTAGCCTCTGCAGTGTCAGCTCATTAGCACACAGATCTCATATTCCCTCTCTGCACTGTCATTGCAAAAAATTGCTGTTGTACACCTTTACAGCCAACAAACGTGCACTTGTGATATGTACAGTTTTCAAGAAATATGTAGGAAAGTCAACCTTCTACATAGTCCTGCTGGAATTTCTCAAAATAAAGCATTAGTTTTCATTAAAATCTGTTGATCATGTAATGATAGTGGTGGGATGTGTATGGGTGAAAAGGGGCTGTGATTGCAGAATCTAATTAATCTACAGGCAGATTCCCTCTCTCGGCTAACCTATCAGCTGCAGATTCTTGTCCTGGCAATTTTTCTGAGTCATTTCTCATGTATCTTCTGAACCCAGAAGGCTTTTTGTGTTTTACCAAATGATGATATGTAGTGTTTTTAACACAGGCACTCGTTCTTTAAGAGACAAAAAAAAGAAGATAGAATGATACACTTATTTTAAGTTGCTAAAATCTTGTAAGTGCATGCTTTTTAAAGGGGTCTGACTTTAGACTCTGTTAGGAAATTTTTCTTTAGCATCCTTGCAGTCCTTGTGTTTAATCTTTGAAATACAACTTAGAAGGTTTTAGTAGAAAAAGTGACTGATTGTTGTTAGAGAGCATTGCAGAGAATGATACCGCAGGACTAGTAGCAGGCAATTTTTTTCCTCTTTAACTGTATTACTCCCTTTTCCAAAGCACAGGTGCGCATATATAAATAAATATATACATCTGAATACTTACACATATGCACACACACACACTTTTTCTTTAGGTGCTACTCAGCATTTATTTTTGCTAGTGGGCAGATACTTGCTTCCCTTGCATCTGTATGCTCTTTGGCCAGCTGGCAAAAGACACAGATGCTGAAAGTGGTCAGCTCCCTTCTGCCAAAAGCATAAGCATGTCTCGCTAGAGTCTTGCCAAGTTTCAGCCATGTACTGGTGGTTTTGTGTGAGTAGAGACCGTAGGGTAGATGCCTCACTCTCATGGTAAGGAATGCACTGTAGTTTCTCCAAGCATCCTGGGGTAGAACACCTGGAAATGGGCTTTCTACACAAACCATTACAGATCCCTGAAAATGCCTTTTATGCTGCAGAACGTGCTCAAGTGTTGTGTGTTATTCCTGTATGACGATCAGCAGGCTTCAGCTTAGGGGTCAAAGCTTTTGCAGTATTGGGCTATGTCGAAAAGTGAAGGGTGTGTTTCAACTTAAGTTTTTTTGTACTTCATGGTGGAGGAGATGATTTGTCATTAAGCTGAATGTGATCTTTCTGTTAGTAGAAGGACCCATACAGCTTTCAAGTATGTTTTATTATTTCTTAATTTTAAAATAAGTTGACTCTTCTTTCTCTCCACCTTTGCTGTATGCATAGCATTTACATACCACTTAGATGTTAGGGTTCCATTTAACTCACATTGTAGATGAAAAAAAAAATCTTGGACACTTCTATGAGAAACTTTGAATTCACCAAATGAATGAAGAATTAGGCATGATGAAGAGCACCATTCAGTTGTTCAGTTTCAGGGAAATTTTGTGCAGATCTATAGATGAAATTGTTCACTTTTCCAGTAGAACACTGGGCCTGGGGACCCATGAGACTATTGGCATGAGCTGGAGAGCTACCGATTAGCT